TACTACGAGTTCCTTTATCTGCCTCTGCTTTTCAATGGACTGGAATAAGTCTCCAACTCAGGTCTTTACACTACGGAAATTTTCCTGTTACTGCTAACAATTAGACTGATATTAGTAATGGTGGGGGCTCAAGTGTTGACAAAGTTCTCATGGCCAGCACTATTTTTAACACCATGTCAATTAGATTTGCTCAGAGCAGGTGTTAGCAGTGGCATAGTGCAAAGTTATCCTGAAGCAGTGGAGATTAGCATTCAAGGTTCCAGATCTGATGCAGTTTGCCAACAAGGAAATGTCCTATTAGCAGTCAGACAAAGACTACAGGCTTTGTATTTACCACTGTATCCTGTATCACCCCTGTGTGTAGTGCAGTGGGGCTGTCCCTCCCAACTAGCAAGAAGGGACTCAGTTTGTCCGTGACATCTTACTCCTACTGTCAATGCTCACTCAACCAACAAACTTCCAGAGTTATAGAAACAGCCTGCCTACAAGCAGAACCTCTGCAACTCAAGTACAGGATTGGCTGGACTGTGTAGCAAGTGAAGTATGTAACATGAATAACAAAGACAGGTGCTATTACATACAAACAATGCACATATAAGACTCATAGAATCATAGAACCATAGGGTTAGGAGGGATTGCAAGGGTCATCTAATCTAATCCCCGGCCAAGATGCAGGATTTGTTGTATCTAAACCATCCAAGACAGATGGCTATCCAGCCTCCTTTTGAAAACCTCCACTGAAAGAGCTTCCATGAATTCTCTAGACAGTTTTTTCCATTGTCCTACTGTTCTTATAGTTAGGAAGTTTTTGCTGAGATTTAATCTAAATCTGCTATGCTGTAGTTTGAGACCACTGCCTCTTGTCTTGTCCTCTGTGGCAAGAGGGAACTTTTCTCTGTCTTTTTTTATGGCAGCCTTTCAAGTATTTGGAGCCCACTATCATATCCCCTCTTAATCTTTTTTCCAAACTAAACATACCCAGGTTTCAAAGTAGCAGCCGTGTTAGTCTGTATCCACAAAAAGAAAAGGAGTACTTGTGGCACCTTAGAGACTAACAAATTTATCTGAGCATAAGCTTTCTCGAGCTACAGCTCACTTCATCGGATACATGCAGTGGAAAATACAGTGGGGAGATTTTATATACACAGAGAACATGAAACAATGGGTGTTACCATACACACTGTAACGAGTGAGATCAGATAAGGTGAGCTATTACCAGCAGAGGAGAGAGAGAAAAAAACAAAACAAAAAAACCTTTTGCAGTGATAGTCAAGGTGGGCCATTTCCAGCAGTTGACAAGAATGAAGTGAGCTGTAGCTCACGAAAGCTTATGCTCAAATAAATTGGTTAGTCTCTAAGGTGCCACAAGTACTCCTTTTCTTTTTGCGAATACAGACTAACACGGCTGTTACTCTGAAACGTGTGAGGAATAGTTCACCTTCAGCCCCCAACTAAAACCTCTCCAGCGCATCATCAAGGATCTACAACCTATCCTGAAGGACGACCCATCACTCTCACAGATCTTGGGAGACAGGCCAGTCCTTGCTTACATGCAAATACTCACCAGCAGCCACACACCACACAACAAAAACACTAACCCAGGAACCTATCCTAAGCCCATTGCCAACTGTGTCCACATATCTATTCAGGAGACACCATAATAGGGCCTAATCACATCAGCCACACTATCAGAGACTCGTTCACCTGCACATCTACCAGTGTGATATATGCCATCATGTGCCAGCAATGCCCCTCTGCCATGTACATTGGCCAAACTGGACAGTCTCTACGTAAAAGAATAAATGGACACAAATCAGACATCAAGAATTATAACATTCAAAAACCAGTCAGAGAACACTTCAATCTCTCTGGTCACTTGATTACAGACCTAAAAGTGGCAATATTACAAGAAAAAAACTTCAAAAACAGACTCCAACGAGAGACTGCTGAATTGGAATTAATTTGCAAACTGGACACCATATAGGCTTGAATAAAGACTGGGAGTGGATGGGTCATTACACAAAGTAAAACTATTTCCCCAGGTTTATTTTTTCCCCCTACTGTTCCTCACATGTTCTTGTCAACTGCTGGAAATGACCCACCTTGATTATCACTAGAAAAGGTGGGGTGTTTTTTCTCTCCCTCTCTCACCTTACCTGATCACTCTCGTTACAGTGTGTATGGTAACACCCATTGTTTCATGTTCTCTGTGTATATAAAATCTCCCCACTGTATTTTCCACTGCATGCATCCGATGAAGTGAGCTGTAGCTCACAAAAGCTCATGCTCAAATAAATTTGTTAGTCTCTAAGGTGCCACAAGTCCTCCTTTTCTTTAAACATACCCAGTTCCTTCAGCCTTTGCATTCCATCCCTTTGATCATCTTTGTAGCTCACCGCTGGATCCTTTCTAGTTTCTCTACATCTTTTCTATATATTGGTGACCAAAATTGGATTCAGTACTCTAGCAGAGGCCTAACCAGTGCCAAGTTAAGCAATACTATCTCCTCCCGTAACTTGCATGCTATGCCTCTGATAATTCAACCCAAAATTGTGTTTTTTTGCAATAGCATCGCATTGTTGACCCATGTTGAGATTGTGATCCACCACAACTCCCAGATCCTTCTCAGCAGTGCTGCTGCCAAGCCAGTTATCCTCCATTTTCTATCAGTGCATTTGTTTTTTTCCCCCAAAGTGTAGTACCTTACATTTGTCTTTGTTGAATTTCATTTTGTTGTTGATAGCCCAGTTCTCCAATTTATCAAGATCCCTTTAAATTTTAGCTTTATCCTCCAAAGTGTTTGCCGCCCTCCCTGCCTTTGTCTCATGTGCAAATTTGATCAGTATGCTCTCTATTCCTACATCCAGGTCATTAATAATGATGTTAAACAACAGCAGACACAGAACAGATCCCTGTGGAATCCCATTTGAGACCTCCTTCCAGTCTGACATTATTCCATTAATAATCTTTGTTTGTGGACGTTAATTATGTATCCACTTAATGATAGTTCTGCCAAGCCTGAATTTCTTCAGTTTACTTATCAGAATGTAACGTGGGGCCTTGCTAAAGTCCAGGTATATTATGTCCACCACATTCTCCCTATCCACCAAACCAGTTACCTTGTCGAAGAAGGAAATCAAGCTGGTTTCGTATAATTTGTTCTTAGTAAATCCATGCTGGCTGCTAGTGATTACTCCTTCATCCTCCAGGTATTCACAAATAGAATGTTTTATACATTGCTCCAGTTGCTTCCCAGGTATTCAGGTCAGGCTGACTGAGCTACAGTTTCCCAGTTCCTCCTTTTTAACAATGGACATTACATTAGCTCTTCTCCAGTCTTCCGGGGCCTCTCCTGCCATTCAAGAGTTTGCCAATATTATTGCCATAATAGAAGGCCAATGTAACTCAAAGCAAATACTACCAGAACACATTGGTTAACATACCAGTATTATGTGAGCACTCAGAACTGACACTGCTATAGGCAATCACAGTGGGGACTGGAAAAGGGTGATTAAACTTAAGTTCTTGGGGAAATTTTCCATTGAGTAAATTTGTAAAAACTGAGTTGACACAATCTTCCTACTTCACATGAGCTGTATCTGCTTTATGTCTTTTGCAGTGTGCGACCGATTCAGTCTCTGGGCTAGTTAGAAGAAAGGACAGAAGAAAATGAAGCCCAAACAGATAATCGCAGCTACTGTGTCCTTCCTGTTTCACTCACTTGCCAGTACAAATCCAGGGTGCCTTGCTAGGTTTTGTCTACTGTAACTTCTTTCCTTCATCTGCCATGAAAAACATTCAGTCAATGAGAAGGAGTGTTGATTTTTACTTCTTACAGTACCTTTTAAAAATTAACCATAAGAATATTTAATATAGAAAGATATACAGCAAAGAGTAATTAGATTGGTGTGACACAACTGTCCTACATCTGCAGTCTCCCTTCCATGCCTGTTGGGGAATTGTTATAATTTTTAATGTGAGCCAAAGTATCTTACATTTTATACCGCACCTTTCATCCTAAAGTGCTGCCCAAACAGTATACAGAATACTCCACTTTAATGATATCACTTACTTGCATATCCTGCATATCCATGTAAGGGTTCTTCACTGGCCCAGCTGGATTCCTTGTGTTATTCAACTTAGCTATATTCACCTAGCTGTATTCAAAACTGAGGTCCAAATGCTGCTTGTTACAATGTAATCAGTTTGGATGACTGAACAATCAGGATACTAGTCAAACTGCACCTATTTATCCATTATGCTCTTAAAGACGTGACAGTTCATATGCATGATAGAATGGGTGAAAAGCTGTATCTCCTGTTAGCACAGCATCTTGCATGTGCAGTGGATGGTCATAAAAAAAAGCCCTGCTTCTAGTATCACAGTCTGTATAGAAGCTCAAGCCCTCTCCTTACATTATACATGTATGCATGGAACTTCCTGTCATTCCACATAAATATCTAGTGGAGGAACAAGACTTCCATACTGCCAAGTGGCGCAAGATACTAGAGCAGTTATAGTGATACAGCAACTGGGAGTTCAAATTTTATTAGACCCAAGCTTAAATCCTTAACTTTTTTTAAAGATTGATTTGTGTGTATGTTGAGACTAGGATAAAAGGATTTTTTTTTAAATGTAGATCCAGGGAATCTGAGTATTTCTAAACTGGGGCACCAAATACTGAGGTCCGTGCTTAAAATGTACTCACTCCAGCAACACTCCCGTTGAAATCAAGGATCTCAGGATTCAGCCTCTACCCTTAGAGCACTAAGAATATGCACATCTTTTACATTTTAAAAGTTGCACATTTATTATGTATAAACAACAACAATGAATACCAGTACTATCTGTAATACCGGAAATGGACAAGTACAAGGGAGGATGGAGGATGATATGGCAAAAAATATGATGCTTTCCCTGAAAAAGAACCAAATGCACTTCAACTATTTCGCGTATGAAAAATGAGTGCATTTAGAGAAGATCACAATATTGCAGTAGCATTAATGATAAGCAAGGAGATTTTATTAACCCATTTTCAAAACAAGGCATGTGCTTCCAAGAAGATTCTCTCAGAGCATGCAGCGACCCAAGATATCACCACAGTGCTTTTCACCATTAAAATCAATGAGAATTTTGTTACGGACTTCAGTGGGAAGAGGACAGAGCCATAAATGAGCAGCAATAAAGATCGACACAGTCAGACTGTAGTGAAATCCATCTCCTTCAATGATGTGGGGTTTTTTCCAATACAAAACAGATGCATGCGGAAAGTCCATCATCCGCATTTAATGTCAACCTACACTGGATATGAATTTCACATACTTGTAGATCCCACGTTCCCAACTGTAGTATAAATAGTTTAGACCTAGATATGGATGAGGTACACAATCACAAATATTCACACATCCTCATGGCAGGAACTATTCATTATTACGGGAGTGTGTGTTTAACTGTAACACACTAAGGCCCTGATCCTGCAACTTGTTCTGCACAGTCAGACCCTTGCATCTACATGGTGATCCATTGACTTCAGTGGAGATCCACGGGGATGCAAGCATCAACCCATGGAGAACAAGTTGTAGGATCAGGGCCTTAAACATTAACTAAAACCAACATGACAATTCATACATGATTACCTCGGCTTTGCTTTAAAACAAAAGGCATATAGATTTTTATTCAAGTCTATTTTATTTATTTTTAGTGGAAAAAGCAAAACAAACAATTGGACTAATGGTTGTGGTGTTGGTTTTTTTTAACTTGGAAACAAAGCTAATTTGTATTTTAAAAGCCAGTTAGAGGGATCCAGCTAAAGGAGAGATTATACAAAGAGTTTGCCTCAGACTGGTAAGCGACTCTCCACAAAGAGGAATGGGAGGTGGAAAGAAAAATAAATTGAATACTGCTTGGGGAGTCCCATGGAATCCTACCCACTTCTAAAGGGTTGGAAAGAATTTGCTACATAGAAAATGGAAGGCTAGCTTCTGACCCTCACTGCGTTTTGCATGGACATAAGTGTGCACTGATCATCACAAAACTTAGCGTTTACATTCCACTTTACATGTTCAGAATGCTGCACAAACAAACAACAGACCCTAACAACCTCCATGAGACAGATAGCATTTATCTCCATTTCACAGCCTGGAAAGCTGGGGCAGCGAAGTGAAGTTACTTGCCTAAGGCCATACAGCCAATCAGCTGCAGAGATGAGATTTACCCTCAGGACTTCGCAGCTTGTGACCCCTTGCTCTATTCTCCAGAGTACCCCATCTCCGAGCAGCAGTTTTAATATACAGTAGAATCTCAGAGTTATGAAACCTCAGGAATGGAGGTTGTTCATAACTCTGATCAAAACATTCTGGGTGTTCTTTCAAAAGTTTACAACTGAACATTACTTCATACATCTTTGAAACTTTACTATGCAGAAGAAAAATGCCGCTTTTTTTTCTTTTAGTAGTTTACATTTAACACAGTACTGTACTTGCTTTTTTGGGGGGGTGGGGAGTGGTTTGTCTCTGCTGCTGCCAGATTGTGTACTTCTGGTTCTAAATGAGGAGTGTGGCTGATTGGTCTGTTTGAAACGCTGGTGTTCGGAACTCTGAGGTTCTACTCTAAAGTCATATGCTGTCTGGCCTGCCAGTGGGCACACAACCCCCACATAGCAATTTACACCGATTACTTGTACTTTATGGCTGGGGCACAACTGATCACAATCATGGATGGCTGATAGGGTGCTAGGGGACTACTCACTAAAAACACATGAACCACGGCGTTCTATAAGATAGAGCGTTCTTTCCTTGACCTCAGGATTGGGGGATGTGGGAGCAGAATGCAGATAGGTCTTGATCTTCCCCACATACATATAACAGCAGCTATCTGAAAGTGGATCACAATAAACAACTAAATCCCTAGTTCAGAAGTCAGAGTGTGATCTGCTCCTGCTGGGACACAGAAAAGAACTGGAGAGCTCAGCCAGGACAGCTCGTTCTATACAGAGCAGACGTCACAAAGCTGTGCTTGTTTCCTATGTCCAGCTGCTGCTAGGAGGTCACATAACATTGTCTGAACTGATTTCTTAGCACATGAGAGGTAAGTATTCTCAGCAGAAAAGAACGATCCCTCTACTGGGTCACTCATTAGGCTTCATTCTAAATGATATAGCTGAGAAAGTTCATCCTGCCACATAAGCATTCTAACTCTATCTCCAGTTTTTATCATCATAAACCTTTTTCCAATTGGCTCAGACACAACAACAAGTTGCCCTGACATCTAGAGACCAAGGACTGGGACCCTATTACTAGGCTTGTGGAATCTGAGCACATCACAAATATTTGGAGGCACAGTATTAGCCATCCCCATGACCGTTGCAAGATCTCCCCCTCCTAAAAAGATTTTTAAGGGCCCAATCGTCTGAGCACCTGGCAGCATCAGGCAGAGTAGAAGTGACAATGACTGTTGACAGGGGCAACACATAACCCATATTAGTAGCCTTGTTACAAGATAAAAAAAAAAAATCATTACCAATGACAGTTCTCATGAGCCAACAAAAACTTGAAACAGCATAGCCAGTGACTCATCAAACAGATTGCCTTTACATCTTCAGAACATTCAGTATGGTCTACTTTCATTAGCACTGCAAAAAATGCAGTCTGTCATAGGCCATTAATAGTCTGGTCTCCTGAAACTCAGACAGCAGAGGGATTGCCTGAAGTAATAGGACCAAAGTTCTACATGGCGGAATCTCTTTCCTAATCTATGAAGTGAAATCCCAATTCCTAGTACAATTATTTAAATACTCACAAAACACAGTCTCTTAAGTGATATAGGGGCCACATATGGCAAGATTGTGTTGTCAGTGATACTTCTGTGAAGAGTGACAGATCTAGCAATGCATAAATTAATAACACTGACAAAAACCACATCTCATTTCCCAAACTAAAGAGCTCCCTGTGGTGTCAAAACAGACATGGTATCACTTAGTATAAGGAAAGCATCCCTTATAAATGATACAACTTCACATAATTTGCTGCAGAATTTACATGCCTCCAATCTACAAACCCTGAGCAAAAACAAAAGCAGTGGTTTTAGAAACACACAGCATCAAAAAAGCTATTTTTTGTTTAAAAAATAAAAAACAAATGGAAAGAAATAAACTTTAAATTATAATAAAGCATTTTAAAAACAAAACCCCATAAACATGTCACATGGGTTGAATTTGTTTTTAGAATTTTTTTCTGCTTGCCAGTGTAATACAGAGACACCGTAACACACTGTTAATTCTGAGTGTGTCGATAGTGTAGTTCAGTTTGATTGTGTCAGCCTATTCATTAAACTACCCACAGAAAGCTTTGGTCAGACATCTATATCAGCAGAAACAGTTCTAATGTGTCTCTTAACTGAGTGTGAAGATCTTATTGACAAGTATTTTTTTCTCCCTGAGATTGTCCATATCTTTCTGCTCCATCAGCCTACTTAAGATTGATATAGAAAAACATATACATACTGCTTAGCACATTGTTGTTATGTGTGTATTATGTTCTTTTCCTACTCAACTTTATTTTGTTATGATTGTTCCAATATTTGTGATATTTTAACACATTTCAGGAAAAAGTAATTAAAAAATTAGTTTCTCTACAGTGAATACGGTATTTAGTATGTGAAAAATCTGGAATTTTACTCACTGACAGACTTTGTCCAGACAAAGTGTGGAAAGGAACTTCTCTCTCATCCTGGTTAAATAACGGTCTGTTCCTGTAGCCCTTAATTCATATAAGCAGAGGCTGCAGGACTGGGCCCTATGGTTGTATAAAAATTAAAAAGGCCAAAGACAGAATCTCTTAGGCAGATCATCCTTATTAACGGAGCTAGTATATTCAGTTTTCATCTATTTATAACTTTAGTTCAATTACTTAGTAGACTTGGTTTCAGTTTATGCCACTGTTCCCTTAGCTTCAATTTTACATGGTCTGAAGCAAAGATATAGTTGATTGATTCATAGGAGAGGTCCCATATCTGTGATGGCGTCAGATTAAATGTTTTAGCAACCAGCTGGTACTCCTGAGACAGATCTGTTGCAAAGACACCTTTATCGTCAGTCTGGAGGGAGGTAAAAAACAAACAAACAAACAAACAATCATTCAGTATGTCCAGCTTTGCAAAATAGGAAATTAATTTATGATCAGTTTCACAGTTTACTGCAGCTAGTACTTATTCTATCTTTTAAGTAAGAACTAACAGATAGAATAAATACTAGCTGCAGTAAACTGTGAAATACAGTAGGGTAAAACTGTTTGAAAATTAATATCAATATATCTCATCCAAAAATACCATATGCTGAACAAAGAAGGCTAAGTGAAAGAACAGTTCATTTCTAAAAATATATGATGTCTATAAAAACAGCCAGAGTCTTTGTGCTTTATTCTATGTCTCCTACTACAAATGGAGCATGCTTTCCAAACTAATCCATAAAGCTGCTCCTACCGCTCCTCCTCAAGACCCACTTCTACCATGATGCCTACAGAGAAGTGATAATGGCTAGACAGAAGGTCTGTGGGGATTGCTGGCACTTACTTATATTTCAAAACAATTCTGATGATTCAGAACCATCAAGTTATTCACACGTGTAACTTATGTAAATGTGTGATCATACAACTGTTAATCTTTCCCCTTCCCTGTTCCGCCCCCACCCCTCTACCCTCCACCTACTAGCTGCACCTTGTCTTATATTAGAGTATTTATCATCAGGATAGGGTCTGTGTCATCCTGTACAACAGTACCTAGTACAATGGGGCCCTGACTTCGATTATGGTCCTTGGCTGCTACCATAATACAAACGATAAATAATAACAATTAGATAAGTGTTGCCAGTTAAATGTTCAAGTTAGGATCGTTTACGGACTGAATTGGTCCCGGCTCCCTAATCCAGGGCTCTCGTGTGGGTTACGTGCGGAAGAGAGGTCCCTAAATTTACCTTACTTAACTTAGCCAATGTGATGTTTTCTACCATGGATGTTTTTATAGATGCTGACAATGGGAGCTGAGGTGCTTGGCATCTCACGGGATCAGGACTAATTACCTACAGGAGGAGTCCCATATTTTCCTCTGAATGCAACAGACACATATTTGAAATTACAAGGAAATAATAATTACAAGGAATCACAATTTAAAAATACAAATATATGGGCTAAGACGTTCAAATGCAATGTTCCCTGGTTCATACCAAAACTTATATAGACCCCAAATTTAATGTAAACCAGACGTTTAATCTACTGGGATTTGCTTCTTCAATAAAAATTAGAAGTTGAATTTTCCTAGATTTTTACAATATATTTCTTCCTAAACAGGGTATCAAATTTCTTATAAGTGAGGTCAAAGAAAGTCCTTGTCCCGTTGGCTCTTGTATAGATAGTAACAGGTATGTTTCCCTAACTTGGCTCCAGTGACTCAGTTTCCATGTTCTGTGTGGTCAGCATCTAAATGTATTCTGTACAATCAAAATGGCTTACACAAAGTACAGTAGGGTGGCCCATGTTGTACCAGTATCCAAAATGGTGTTTGTCACAGGAAGGTACAGTCTGACTTTTGAAGTTTGACGTCATGCAAAGTTCTAAGTGATAAAAGGAAAAACTCTGAATTAAAAGAAAAAAACAAGGATATGTACAGAACCAAAAATATGATCTTTGGGTAGACTCATGGACACATTTCAATCCATAGCTAAATGGTTCAGTGTTACCTGGGGTTTTTTTTGTTTTTTTTTAAATGTGTGGTGATTCATGACATTTACAATATATTGTATATCCCAACTAAAAACATATTCAAACACGGGACCAAAATGTTCATGTGTGCACACATGAAAATACCTGGATTTACACAGTCAAATGGATGGTTAGGTGCACAGTTCACTGGTTGTGCGCCCAGTTTGAAGAACTGGTGCACAAGCACAGACACCACATGTACTGCCCAACGGGGTTATGTTTTGATTTTCTACCTTCATCTGAGGCATCCATTATTGGCTACTGCCAGCGGCATGATATCAGACTGGACAGATCAGTGCTCCAGTATCACAATTCTTATGTCCCTATGTATTTGACGCAGATATAAAACTTTCAACAGTCTACACAGATGCCACTAAATCCTTTTACATCGCCTTAAAATAAATTTCACTATACAAATTACTAAGGTGTAGTTTATTGATATTAACCATGTGGCAACAAATGTAAACACATGGCAATTTTGTACTATTTTAATGTTCCAGATCTCTGTTTCCTGTTGCCGTTTTCCCCACTATTTGTTGATTCTACACCAGGGACTGGCATTAAACTGCTAAGAAGCACCACTATTGAGAATAGTGTATGACAATGTGTGTGTATATTGAAATATATGCATATAAAATACCTAGACATTTAATTAATGGCACTCAGTAAAAATGTTTAAAAATATTGTGACCAATGTTATTTTAAATGAAAAGCAGAAGCGTTAGTAAAACACCATCTGTATCAGTTATTTTCTCACCGTATCCATATATTTCCACATCACAAATATCTTTCCATATTTATTTCTGGGAGATATAAATCTACTGAGATTTACTGAATCATTTGCAAGATACAATGTATCAAAGCTTGAGGGCTACCAAGCAATTTTCTTATCTTCTTGCTTACCTATAGGTATGTGATTCTGTCTAACAAGCTGCACAAGGTCCTCTGAACTTGTTGTAGAGCTGAGAAATGTACCATGTCCAATTCTGTCTGGAGGCAAGCCAAGAAGAATTTTGGTCTCCTCTTCTTTATTTGGGATCTAAAACAGAATACACCCCACCATGCACAGAGTCTGTAACGGCACTATACTGTAGCTGAATAATCAAAGTCCTACATCAGCCCCAGATCAGATCTGGGTTCTGGGTTTTTGTATTTGTACATTTTATCAACAAAGAAAATGAGAAATAAGTGTGTGTGTTAATTAGTATTAGTTATTATGCTTTGGAGAAGGAAGAGATGCAGGAACTGGAAGATGGAAGTGCACTCATTGGAAAACGGATAAAAGGACAGATTACATTAGTTATTTGCACTTCTGAAATACTTTTGATTGGAGGACCTCAATTTTCTTTACAAACCTTAATGAAATATGCCTCAACTACCTTGTGAAGGAAGGTTACAGTTATCTCCAATGTACAAATGGATAAACTCATGGCAGAACAGAGAAGTTACACAATAAGACAGAGACAGAAAGAAGAAGGTGAGGCACTCGGAAGCACATTTTCAGAGCACTGCACAAGAGTTCGATGCAAAAAACTCATTAATAATATCAGCCTTCATTTCCTAAAGGCACTACTTCTTTCAGAAATTAGAAGGTTTTCATTATTCATCAGGCCTGCTAAAACAAACTCTAGGTCGATCTTCAATGTTAGAGATCATACTCCAAATTCTCCTTGTCTCACATACACAAACAGCTAAAAATGTCAACAGAACTACTCATGTGAGTAAAACAGGTGCATAACAAGATCTACTATATGATATTCCAGATATACTTCAGGTAGGTGACAATGGATCAGTCAATATATGTGTAAATTTCAAATACAATAAATTACAGCCAATAGTTCCTCCAATAATCCTTAATGAGCAAGGCTTAGTCATGCTCTTGAATCAGGGTTTTCCCTATGATACTGAGGTCCTATTTGTTTCCATAATTTAATAAATCATGTAAGGACCTTGCAGGTTTAAAGGCAGAGTATGTTATGTTACTGGCATTCCTTCTGTGGTTCTCAACATTTACTGTATTATATCATTTACTGGATTGATCTATCCAAAATTAACACAGAATTCAAAACTGACAATAGCACCATTGAAACATTTCTTGTGACATCATAAATCACAGGAGTGGAGCCTGCATGGTTCTCTGGTGGTCTGTAACATCCCTAGAAAGGTAGGAGAGATTTAGTCAAGGTTACTTGACTAAGTTGGTTAGGTGGTTGGGTTTTGATTCTTTGGGGGGTTGATTCTTTGGGGGGTTTTTCCCTTCAAAATACATATAAATATATGAGTGTTTACTTTAAATTTCTCTTTCCTAACCCCATCTCTTCAAAATGCCATAAACTAGCATTACTTCGGCCTGAAAAACTGAAAATCCACAGACGTTACTTTTAGTTACAATAGGTTTTTATTTAAAGGAGGTTGCAGAAAAAAGTTAGCGCAAACATTAAGAATTTACCTCTGAAAGATGCAATGCCAGTTTCAGTCCTGCCTTTTTTGCTTCGAAAAGGGGTTCAAAAAAATCTTTGCCATGTCCTGCCTTGAAGAAAAATCCAAACAAAAATGCATGATTAATCAGGAGGTATTTTTTATTGAAACCTTTCCAATTATACAATCATGATGAAGTTTCATATTATTAATATAATCCATTCAAAAGCAGTTAATTTTAATCATTTTTCTTTTGCTATCTCATATAATCAAATATAGTGAATCAATTTTTTTCACCTCAATTTGAGAACTATAGTCTTCAACCTCTCTTCTTCTCTTCTTTTCTTCAACAGCATATTAGGTGCTTGCATTTTATGTCTGTCTACATGACCCTGCAGTTCAGACTATGGGATGTGAACTGTAGTGCACACTGGCACGTTGCACTGTAACCCACCAAGTGAATGCTGAGGATGCAAACTAAAAGACACCTACTGCAATTCACACCCCCACAGACCAAACTGTGGGGCCTTGTAAACCAGCCTTAGTTCTCATTTTGTGTCTATTCTCAGTATTACTCAAAATGCCTCCACCCCAATCAATCTGATACAATCAGAGCAATGTGGTAGTAGATGCTTTCCTGGGCTCAGAAGTTGCTTTTAAGTTCCCTTTTTTGATAATTGTGTATCATTTTGTACATTTTCAATTTTTTGACAGACAGGTATTATCTTCACACCATGAATATGAGCAAGACATTTAACCAAGAACCAGCAAGTTTAAACTGACTAACTATATAGGGGAAACAGTGAAACTGACTACAGACAAATTGCTATTAAATGTACAAGTAAACAGTGAGACAATAAAGAGAAATGTATTTCCCTAATCATTTTCAATTCAGCAAATGTTACTAGTAACAACACATCAGTGTGTTTATTTTAGTTGATGGTGTCCTTTACATAAAGGGCAGCTGTTAAGAACCAAAACAACTTTCTGTCCAACCCCCTCAACTCCTTCATACATTCCAAAGTCAAGTAAAATGACTAAAAATAGGATTTGCCAGGCAAGAACCATAATTCCAAGTACTACTGTGACTACTACTACCTGTTCTTCTGTCTTTAGATTGTGTGCCTTCTTTTATGTTTGAAAAACACCTTACACAACATTGTGGGTACTATTTAAAAGAAATTATATAATAATATAGCAACAACATTCTGCCTTCAGTGTTGGCCAATAACTGGTACTTCAGATGAAGGCAAAGCACTCCAAAATGCATCTATACCCATTTATACAATATTTTAGATGGGGGGAAATAATCGTTCCTAACCCTTGCTGTGAACAGTTAATGCCCCCAAAGGAAAATTATCCAAAGCACTAAGAGTAAAAATAAAATTTGATACTATAATCATTACAATGATAAAAGTACCCATCTTCAAGGAAAATAACTTACGGTGGGATCACCACTGAGGTCAAGCCCTACCACAATCCCATCGGTGGAAAGGAGGAACTCTTCAGCAAGTTTAACAGTTTGCTTGGCCACGATAGGTCCACCTCTTCTATCTATTGCTATTAAAAACCTAGAATAGAGATGTACACCTTACATTAAATATGAACAGTGACAGCAGGTGAAGGACAAAGAAACAATCTACTACCAGCAAAAGCAACACTACACTCAACTTAAATAGAAATTGCTTCTTTTGTCACAACTGTTATTGTAAAGCTCTGATGGCAAGTAACAGGGTAATTATGCATGTACAGAGAAGCACACAACAATACCAGTGCACCACGCTGTTATCACAGTGGCTGAATGACACATCTCTAATGCCCATGTGCATACCCACTCTAATTCCAGCATTACATTCATGACATCTCCCTTCCAGCCATACTGGCTCCACTCTAGAGGCAAAAATGTAACACTGAAACAAAAGATTGGGCTTATATAGCTGAACACAAGGAGCTAGAACTGAACCCTCACTTGGGATAAACTGATTTTCTTTCAATAATTTTATTGGCATGGTTTGGTTCTTCCTTTTTCATAAAACCAAAACAACTTTTTCCAAGCCCTGGGAAAGGAAAGATCTGGTAAGCTGCATCTCCAGAGAAGGACCTCTAAATACTTCTTAAAAAACATACACCATCTCACATAAGACACAGCAAAGAGTTCTCCTGTCCTCTGGACAGGCAACATCCTTCCAGCCACTGCCTATACTGGCATCAGGTCCTAGTCTGGCTACTAGCCTGCACACCAAAGTTCTAACTTTTATATATCAACTCTTTCTCTGAAGCTACTACCAATGCTGTTTTCTGGATTAGCCAGCAAGACCTGCCGGCTCAGACAATTCAGCCCCTCCCTTCCACAAAGAGCTTAGAATTTGACCTCTGCAACACCCTACATCTCAGGCACAGGCAAAAGATATTAAGGCCAATCCATAAGATACTAAGGAACCTCCTAACTGGCTGTACAAATGCTGACAACTGTGACATAGTATTATATTGTTATGATGTACTGTATACAAATGATACATGTATCTTAATTCACATTTATATCTAGTTTGTTATTATTACACCTCTACTATTAAGAGGCGCAATATATTTTGCCAGAAAAACCAAAAAAACTTTATGGTCCAAATTTTCAAAGGCAATATGTAGCAAACAGAAAAATTTTGGAGTGCAAAAAGTTAACTGTGTTCACACATAAGTGACCCTGTGGGGGATGCAATTACTCATTCAGCCTGCACAATGTGGATTTCTGCAGGTGCACCACTGCAACCCTCTTTGAGAAGGTAGATAGTTTACCTTAGATAGTTTACAGAAGGCCCACAAAAGAAGTCAAGAACTAAGGACAACTTTTCAGAGCAGATTTTTAACCTGTATTATTAGTTTCTTGCAAAAATTAATTTTATAGTTCCCACAGAGGAAAGCTGGATCCCTAACTAGTGGCTGTTTATCTTCTTCGGGTTTCCCACCATTTAGTTATCAAGTTTCTGACTTATAAACAATTCTGAAAGGTTTTAATAAACTCATTTTGTTATTGGTTCATGTTTTTTGAGTTTCTCTAAGATTTTTCAATTCTCAAAAACAAGTGAAACTCAGAAGAAAATTGTACATGGTAACCAGTGCTCCTGCATATAGCTACACAGGTGCTGTCTGCGCAGTGTGTGTTTTTTCCTACATCAACTTCACTGGGGTGGGTTGGTCATTTTAAAATAATTCAAACTTTTTAAAAATTGTCCAATATATTTGTACTTTTTATTTGTTTATGGTCGGTAGTTTTCTGTTTGTTGATTTTTTGTTTGTGGGTGTTTTTTGTTTGTTTTAAAGAGGAACAAAACTGCCGAAGGTTTGTACATGATAAAAGTCTGACAGGCCATTTCACAGTAAAAGCAGCTTTCCCAGAGGATCAAAGTAAGCATGTTAGTGAAACAACAGTTCAATGTTCAGCAATTAGCCAAACAAACAGTCAATGGCTGCAGAAACTCTCACTGTGATTACTGTATTATTTCAAAGAAAATCATTAGAATTCCATAACAGAGGGGAAGACACATATTACACCTATATTGGTGATTATTAGGTTCACTTTTGATAGCTGGTTTAAAATTCAAGTTTATATTATTTGTTAAATTACTAATAGAAACTGTAGTGTCTTTCTAAGGCCTGATCTACACAGTGTCATTGTACCAGTATAACTAATTTGGTAGTGGGTTGATTTTTTTAACCAAACTAGTTAAACCAGTACAACCCTTCATCTGGATACAGTTATGCAAGTAAAATGGTGCCCTATACCCATGTAGTACACCTCTATCCCAATACAACGTGGTCCTCAGGAGCCAAAAAATCTTACCGCGTTATAGGTGAAACCGCGTTATATCGAACTTGCTTTGGCCTCGAGCATTTCCGTTATTAATAGTCAGAAAATCATTTTTGTTAGAACTAACATGGTGTATGCAGTAAATAAATCTGTTCTACAATGGCTAAACTGTATCTCCTTTTTTTAATTACAACAATTATTTTATAAGCTTACTTAAAAGATACAGTGTATTAACAACAAAGGTACTAAACACTACTAAATGCAACCATGTGGGCTAGGTTTCATCATACATCAATCGTTTGATCTACGGGTAATGCTTAGGAAAATGCAAAATTCACATAAAATATCAGAAAACGCTTTTAATTACCCATCTTTACAAATTGTTGTAAAAAAGGATTTTGGTATTTTAGCAAATAGGAGCATGGGCCACTTTGTCACTTAGCCAACTACGTTATACGTAGATTGTTAAGTAATATGAACTGTTAACTATTAAATAGTTTGAACACATTTTGGAGATGGGAGTTTTTTACTTATAGAAAAGGTTAAAATGAAGCTAAAAATGGTAAAGTACTCATGTTTTAGAGACACTGATAAAATAGTAAATACTTTTTTTTGGTGTACAAGATGCTTTCTTATTTAAGATGCACCCCTTAAAAAATATTTAATTTTTAAAAAAACTTTAAAACGTCAAAAATCATCCAGTTTCTATATAAATTCCTCCCCAGCATTCATGATCTGTAAACCTCGGCCAAGCACTAGGTTCATAAGAAAATCCCAGATCAGAAGATTTTCACGTTATTTTACCTGACATCTATATCCAAATCCTCCTCTTTACACTGTTTTATTCCTTCAAGTACAGCTTCCACGTATGCCCTTTTGGTCATGCCTATAAAACACACACACAAGCATAAGCACATCTGGTCTGAGTAGATATAAGCGAACTGATTATAAAAAGTTACGTTTGATAAAATCCTAGACTGACCATGAAAATATTTTTCATTTTACCTTCCCCCCCCATTTTACCATTTGATCTTATATTTTATTTGCACTTTGGGATGGTAGTTTCATTCTCCATCTTGATTTTATTCTGTGATTTTACATTTTGTATAGGGCTGGTTTTACCAACAAATGTAATTTTACTTTGAGGCCTCCCTTTGGATTTTGTTTGCTCTGAGTTTGTGGAGAAAAGAAAAATAACTTTACAGAAGAGTCTAACAATAGGGTTTCCTGATGCACCACTGAAATATTTGTTTAAAAACAATAAAAAGATAAAGAGAAATAAGAAAGAAAATGTAGCAGCTATTACAAGAAACAAAACTACAGTAAGGCTATGTCTCCACTACAGCCTATGTCACCATAATTTGTGTCACTCCGGGGTACGAATAAAATAGCCCCCCAAGTGACGTAAGTATACTGACATAAGCACTTGTGTGCACTGGATAGTGAAGCTATGACAGGAAAGATTTTGGCTCAATATGTAATTCCCTCCCACACCCCACCCCCAAAAAAATCTTACTAAAAGGAAAATTTTATCCACATTATCATTTTCATTATTCAGTTCACTGCAAATAATTATATTTATAACACTGAACATACGTATGTGCATGTATTTTTTTATTTATATTTTTATATAAATATATGGGTTGGGAAAAAAATCACCCATGGAGCAATTCCACTGGTTTCAATGAAATTACAAGAGGAATTTGCCACTATATGAAAGATTTGACAGTGGGACATTCACTGATTTGTTTCTAAATGTGTCACATTTACTGAAACAACTGGATTTCAAAAGTGACTCCAGCAGTTATTAACATGTCAGTCAAAATTCACTAGGTACTATCCAAACCATATTGTTAATATTAACTTTATAATGTGAGAGGTTCTATAATATAATCTAGAATACTAATTAAAAGTCAGAACACTTTGTACCAGTGCCATTTTCTTCTCTAGGTGTGCTCCTTAACTCCAGATACTTGACCCCATCAGCAGCAAATTCTTTAATAACATCTTTAGTTACCTGGTTAAAAACAGCATATACAATATTTTGAAATTAAAGATTTATAATTTGTTACACTGGATGACTCAAAGATAAAGACATGCATGTAAGCTTTCAGTGTGAAACATGGAAATATAGTTACATAATATTAATAGGAGTTGTTGTTTAAATCCCATGGTGTTTACCTTTCTGTCCAGTTTTATCAGGGTATCAAAGCTGCTCTGGCCAATGGGGATTTCAGTGGCAATGTGCTGACACAGTACCTCCCTCCACTGCCCTACCAATGGCAATGACCTCTTTCTTAGCAATCCTGACCACCTGGAGGGCTGTACTGGCCGCCTGAAACCCCTTCTGGAGAGAAAACGTTCACAACACTTTGCACCACTCTGCACCCTGAGATACGCTTTCCCACCAGCAGATCTCCCTCTCTGTGCTGGACTCAGAAGTGAACATAGTACAGCTCTAGTAAGGAACTCTGCATATACATTGAGACAAAGAAGTATTAGGAGACTCTGCTAAATTAAAGCATAGGTAAATATGAATGGATATCACATCTGAGAGCACAGACTGACTTCCAATATTGGTAGCTCACTGCTCTGAAGAAAAAAAAATGAAAATGTCAGTTACGTAGAATATGACATTTCTAAATTCTCACTTTTTACAGAAATATTTTTTACATGCCATTGACTAATGTATTACTGAATCTCTGAGCTCAATAATTTACAATCAGCTCCATTTGGCATTTACACACTGGGCACAGATACAAGTGCAATAACTTTTCTTGCTACCTTTGCAAGGTGTTGTTTTTGAAAGAGAAATGCTCTGATTTTTTAAAACAAAGCCTTGTACAACTTACCAGTAATATATCTTCAGTCCTATTGGTAATCTGATGAATGATATTAAACATCTGAAAACATCTACAACAAAAAAGTTAAAAGGATAAGCATATAAAAGTGTGCTGGTGTGATGAGCATTCCCACTTGCAAACCCATACCTGAATAACATGTATTCACTGGCTTTGTTGCGGCATAGACTGAATCATCATAATTGTCCTTTCTGGCCTTAAAAATTATTAATTCAGTAGCGATTAAATGTAGTGCATGTATAGTGTAAAGCATTTACTAAGAATCTTTGTTTGCCTATGTGTTAAGTTACTAGCTATATTCATGCCCAACTAGGAAATCTTGCTTGATTGGATTTTCTCTAAAGAGCCCAGGCTCTCTGTAAATATTTTCAATCATCTGATTAAAAGGAAAACAAAATTAATAAGAAAGATTACAAGGGATACATGTTCCGTTTGCACACAAGAAAGAAGTGACTTCACAGATTTAAGAAATGAAAAAACTATCTTCTCCTAAGGATATTTTTAAAAAGTAATAATTTTCTTAATGATGTTAAAATATGATGAAATTACATTTACAAATTACAAAAACAAACCCCAAAACCTTCAATTTTAATTATGTTTTCTACAGCCACACAGTGCAAGCTTACAGATTCTACTGGTTTCAATGTATTCATAAAGGACCGGGGGGAGTGGGGGGGGAAATGGGGAGGGGGGAGAATTAACGTTGTAATTTATAGATCGGGGTAGGCAAACTACGGCCTGCAGGCCATATCCGGCCCCTCAGGGCTTTGGATCCGGCCCGCAGGACTGCTCCCCGTGGTGCCGCAGGCCCCGCGCTGCAGGCTCCATGCATTGCTCTTGCCTCCAGGCACCGCCCCCCGCAGCTCCGATTGGCTGGGAATGGGGAACCGCAGCCAATGGGAGCTTTAGGGGAGGTACCTGGAGGCGTGGCAAAGGCAGCACATGGAGCTTTGTGCCCCCCGTCCCCCAGGGGCTGCGCAGAGACATGGTGCCGGCCGCTTCCCGGAGTGGTGCCACGTGGGGCCAGGGCAAGTAGGCAAGGAGCCTGCCCTGGCCCAGGTGAACACAGCTGCCACCACCAGGCTGGAGCCTGAACCCCTCCTGCACCCCATCCTCCAACTCCCTGCCCTAATCCCCCTGCCTGCACCTCGCACCCCTCCTGCACCCCAACTCCCTGCCCTGAGCCCCCTGCTGCACCCTGAGCTCCCTGTACCGAGCTCCCTCCCAACAGTCCACACCCCTCCTGCACCCCTGCCCTAAGCCCCCCAGACACCCCGTACCCCTCCTCTGCTCCAATCCCTTGCCCTGAGCCTGTTCCTGCACACTGCACCCCCTACCACACCCCGCACTCCCTCCCGTACCCCAACCCTCTGCCCTGGCCCTGCATACAATTTCCCCACCCAGATGTGGCCCTCAGCCCAAAAAGTTTGCCCACCCCTGTAATAGATACTCACTCTTCCAAAGTCCTTTTCTTCCCCTTGTCAATCATTGTCATTCCATTATGGATTTGAAGATATGGTTTCTGGTCCACAAGTTTCTTCATAGTAACAGAACTGATGGAGCCATTCAAGTGAGCGTGGAGCTCCTATGTTGTAAACAAATCAAGAGGAGTGGAGGGTATATTTAATTTCAATTAGATTTCAGGGTTTTTTCTTCTTTTATGTTGTATTGCTTTTTTATTAGAAGGTTGAAAATAAAAGATTTCCCAACCAATCCTGTCTCTGCATTTGGCAAATAATGACTATTTTGACTTGTGTTTCTATATGCCGGTGCCCCAAATGAGATTGTCTTATTTACTTCTCATTGGGAGCATTAGCGGTGATATCAGCAAGAATGTAGGTGCCACTGTGAAGAGTGTTAAAGTCTCAGTAGTGGTACACCTTGGGGGGTGGAGGGAAAACAGATCTTACTTTTTAAGATTTTAAAAATAATTTAGAACATGAGCACTATTCCTTACTCAATTCTATAATCGGTCAAATCTGGGCCTAAACTGGTTCATCATCTTTTTAATTAGACTAAAAAAGCAGCATTTATTCGACCCAGGCATATTCTTCCTTTTCTCTTAAGAGCACATGAAAGCATAGTGAGCTCTCACTTCCCTCTATAAACAGAAAACAGAATTAGCAATTGAACTGCGCTCCTTGAATTTAGAACTCACGACTTGTTCCAGCCTCTCTCTCAAACCCAATCATCCTTTACTCAGCTCCACACTTCATTAAGCATCACCCTCTTCTCTGTCCCTTCTCACAATCTTGCTGCCCATCATTTGGAATAGTCTTCTTGTGTCGCTCCATCTTACTTCAAAATCTGTCTGCAAAATACCTAGCTTGTCCCACACATCTTCACTCTCCTGCCCCTCCCCTTTTAGCACCTGTTTTTATTAGGGCAAAAATTGGCAAAATGTTTTCACAAAATGCTTGACTGATAAATATGATGAAATTTTTACTATCGCTGTAAAATACTTAAAAATAATATAATACTAAATGTACAATAAAACATAGAAGGGGTGATTGTCAAAAGTGCTGAGCAACCACAAGTCCAATTCATGGGAGCTCTGGTTACTTACCACTTCTGGAAATCAAGTCCAGAAACTCTAATTCTAATAAAAGGCATGCCTGTTCCACATACCATGCCAATTAAACTCCTTGCAGAATTCACTATGAGAATCTGCCACCCACAAAAAGACAAGACACTTTGCAAGGATGCCTTCAAAACACCTTTTTTCAATGGAAGCATCAAAATGTAGAGAAAGTGTCAATATCTGTTTTGGATCATGCACCTGTGCCAATTTTAATGAATAAACACTCAAATAGTAGACGTGAAATTTGTTGTACATGACTCCAGAATTGTTGAGCAGATAAGAGTTCCAGGAACGTGTAGCTATGATAGCAGGAATGTGCCAGACCACACCCTTTAGAACGTAGCAAAACCTGTTATCAGAATCAGACTTACAGAGGTGGCCTCAGGGGAAAAAAATAAAAGCAAAAAAAAGGAAATATGTTGATTTGCTTGCAACAGTCCTTGAAAAATAATTGACTGGAGTCAGGCGATACAAAAATTTTAAAAATTTTGTCGGTGGTGGAAATCAATTAGTACTTTTGGACAAATAAACATGACAAAATGGATTGTATTACAGCTTGTTAGGAACCCAAGAGCTGTTTGCTTGAAACTTTTCCTTGATAAATGGGCAGAAATTCCTTTTGTTCAAATACACTGCCAATAAAGACCTACAGCTTATCAGTTTTGTCCTCATCCTCAACTTGCAATTATGCTTTTAGTAGCTCTACAATGCTTTTGATCTGTAGGCTGCTCTTACAGGTGGTTGCTGTAAAAAGTGTCACAGCACACTATTACTAAAAATGCTTACTTTCTCATTTTATCATATAATTATAAATCAATTGGAAAATAAATATAGTACTTACATTTCAGTGCATAGTATATAGAGCAATATAAACAAGTCATTTAATAGAATCATAGAATATGAGGGTTGGAAGGGACCTCAGGAGGTCATCTAGTCCAACCCCCTGCTCAAAGCAGGACCAATCCCCAACTAAATCATCCCAGCCAGGGCTTTGTCAAGCCTGACCTTAAAAATTTCCAAGGAAGGAGATTCTACCACCTCCCTAGGTAACCATTCCAGTGCTTCACCACCCTTCTAGTGAAAAAGTTTTTCCTAATATCCAACCTAAACCTCCCACACTGCAACTAGAGACCATTACTCCTCGTTCTGTCATCTGCTACCACTGAGAACAGTCTAGACGCATCCTCTTTGGAACCCCCTTTCAGGTACTTGAAAGCAGCTATCAAATCCCCCGTCATTCTTCTCTTCTGCAGACGACACAATCCCAGCTCCCTCAGCCTTTCCTCATAACTCATGTGTTCCAGTCCCCTAATCATTTTTGTTGCCCTCCGCTGGACGTTTTCCAATTTTTTCACATCCTTCTTGTAGCGTGGGGCCCAAAACTGGACACAGTACTCCAGATGAGGCCTCACCAATGTCGAATAGAGGGGACTGATCAAGTCCCTCGATCTGCTGGTAATGCCCCTACTTATACAGCCCAAAATGCCATTGGCCTTCTTCACAACAAGGGCACACTGTTGATTCATATCCAGCTTCTCGTCCAGTGTAACGCCCAGGTCCTTTTCTGCAGAACTGCCGCCTAGCCAATAGGTCCCTAGTCTGTAGCGGTGCATGGGATTCTTCCATCCTAAGTGCAGGACTCTGCACTTGTCCTTGTTGAACCTCATCAGATTTCTTTTTGCCCAATCCTCTAATTTGTCTAGGTCCCTCTGTATCCCATCCCTACCCTCCAGCGTATCTACCTCTCCTCCCAGTTTAGTGTCATCTGCTAACTTGCTGAGGGTGCAATCCACGCCATCCTCCAGATCATTAATGAAGATATTGAACAAAACCGGCCCCAGGACCAACCCTTGGGGCACTCCACTTGATACTGGCTGCCAACTAGACATGGAGCCATTGATCACTACCCGTTGAGTCCGACTATCTAAACAGCTTTCTATCCACCTTGTGGTCCATTTTCTGTTTGACATTTTAGTTTCTGACTTCACTAGTGCTTTTTTAGGTAGGCTGTTGTAAAACTAGGCAAATATCTAGATGACTTAATGTACCAGCCCCTGGAAGACCTCTGCATACCCCAACGAACCACTTCACCTACAGGGAAAAGGGTGAAGGACAGGAACTGCTCACCCTGTAAAAGTGGCAGGAGAAGTGACTCCACAGCAGAGCTGCAATAGTTCATTTGTGTAAAACACGAAGTGAGCATGGTCGAGAGAGACCCCCAAGGATCTATATGCTGGTGCACCGAAGATACAGCACCATTGCAGGGGGCTGAGCTCCTCTTGTCCCACCCCAATTCTGTTGCAAGCGACCAAAGGCAAAGAGGGCAGATTTACTCCTACAGGCACAAGAGTTGCCAGAGTGAAGCAGACTACATATAGTCCAAATAAAGATGGAAAACACTCACATTGTGGAAGAATCAAATGGTCAATGTGAGTCATTTTTTTTTCTTAAAGGCAGTACAACTAATCGCATCTTTAAAGAAAAGTGTTCAGTGCAATGTGACAGGCTGGGTTCAGGAAAACAACTATGGAAACCAAAAAAGGCTGCAGCCCTTAATCAGTATGTCTTCTCGATTGCAATCCCTCTACAGAGCTCCCAGCACAAGAACCAAAAGGTGCTGGCTGATTTTCTGGGGTGCCTGCCTCTCCTCAAACGTAGGTGCTTTACAAATGAGGAGATTTTACATGAGCAGGGCTACTGCCCAAGCCACTCTGTGGATGAACTCTCACTGCTCACCCACCCCAGTTAGAAGAAAGGTGACTTGCAGACCCAGCCCAGCGTAGCATTGAATGCTGTCAAACCCTATTCCAGGGGTTCTCAAACTGGGGGTCAGCAGGTTATTACCGGGGGGGGGTTGGAATTCACAAGCTGTCAGCCTCCACCCCAAACCCCGCTTCATCTCCAGCATTTATAATGGTGTTAAATATAAAAAAGTGTTTTACTTTATAAGGGCGGGGGGGGAGGTCGCTCACACTCAGAGGCTTCCTGTGTGAAAGGGGTCACCAGTACAAAAGTTTGAGAACCACTGCCCTATTCCCTGCCGTGCAAGCGGGGAGGGACATAAAGGATGCATAATGTGGGCTGCTGGTCTATCATCACTGCACCCGGCCCAGCGCATTCCCCAGCTAGGGCAGCGAGTGGGCAGCGCTGGAGTGACTCCGGCAGCTGCACGGGAAGAACCAGCCCAGCCGCGGGGAACGTGGAGAAAGGGCAGGTGGCCCGGCCCCCGCGGGAAGAACGCCCGACCCTGCGGACCTGACGCAGCTCTCACCACTTTAGGAAGCTCCCTGTAAAAGCGCAGCTGCCGCTCGCCATCCGCGCCGGACGCCATCGTGCCTACCCGGCGGCGGGAAGAGACGTCACGCGGCTGCGTCACTGCTGCAGACACCGCCGCTCTTCCCTCGCGCACCTGGCCCCTGGGGCAGCGCGCGCATCCCAGCACCCAGCTGCTTTCCACGTGTCCGGGCCCCTCCTCCCCCAGAGGGCGGCAGCAGCAGGCTTCTCCCCGAGGCTCCTGTACCTATGCTGGGGTTGACAGGGCCTTTGCACGATGTCGATTTGCTTTATAGCCAATACACCAGGCACTGAAATGAACTGAGCTCCTCCCCTCAGCTAGTGGGCATGACTGCTTACATCCCTGACAGCTCTGTGCCACAACACACCCTTCTGCTCCAAGAGGACTAGGAGACACCCTAGAGCTAGCACCTCAGGATAAGAAGGAGAAGCAAATACATTCTGGGGTTATTTTCTTGAGAATATATGATGGTGCTTGAAAGGTACAATGTGGCAAGTAGCAGGACATGAAACAGAAAGCAGCCGCATTTAACCAGTCACCAGCCAAGGGAAGAGCTGGGTGAGGATAAAAGATCTCAACACTAAAGCACTGAGCCAACAGGTAATGCTCCATAATGCTTTGCTTAGAGGCTTAGCTTCATTTCAGCTGGTTTGGACTATTAGGATACAACAACACTTCTTTGAAAGTGGTATCTTATTCACCACAATTTCAGCTTCCATAAAAGTTAGTTTGCAGAGTAGCAGCCGTGTTAGTCTGTATTCGCGAAAAGGAGTACTTGGTGGCACCTTAGAGACTAACAGATTTATTTGAGCATAAGCTTTCATGAGCTACATACATCCGATGAAGTGAGCTGTAGCTCACAAAAGCTTATGCTCAAATAAATTTGTTTGTCTCTAAGGTGCCACAAGTACTCCTTTTCTTTTTGTAAAAGTTAGTGACTGTGTAGTCACAAAGCCTCAAAAATGTAAACTGTATGTACCCAACTCAGCAATATCAGTAACTCTACAGAAACTCTGGAACAATGGCTCTGACAGGTGTGACCTGCCCATTCACCCCAGGAAAATATTAACTGTGTTAAAGTTGCCATTTAAACTAATTGCATTGCTCCTGTAAGAACCGAGAGGAACACAGATCTGCAGTTTACTGTGAGTCACATCTCACAGTGCTAAAAAAAATGGTGGTATTTGAAAGATATCACCACTTCTTTCCCCTTAATTAAAAGGAACCATGCCAAAGAAGCCCAACGGAGCCTCGGAGCATATTCAAGTCCTAGCAAGGGGAAGCTAAATTTAGTGGAGCTCATAGTATCTACACAATCAACTGTAAAAGAACCGCTTACATGGCTGAAGTTTATTTTGCAGGCAGAGCTGCCAAGAGCATTACTATTTTCCTCCTCTCCCCCTTCCAGATGCATGTATAGATTGAAAGAGTGGCAGCAAGAAAAAACTGAATAGAAAATAAAAACACAACACTACTTCCATTAATTTTCATCATATTTAATTCAATTTTAGTTTATCCAACTGACAGTTTTCAGTGTAGTGCAGTTTAGTGCTGCAGAAGCCAAGGAGTCCTGCCACACAATTTAAGACTGGATTGCTATAGAGGACCTTGGAAAGAGGACACGAAGGTCAGAGGTAGGACTTAAAAACCCAAAAAAGTTGAAAATATGAATTGCCTAATAAAAAAAATCAGAAAACAAATGTTACAGCCTTCTAGAATGTACTAACCTTCAGTGACATTATGGAAACAAGTAAATATCAGACAACTTTTCAATAAAAAAATACTTTGTTACCAAATCTTCAGCTGATAAACAAGTTAATTACCAGATCTCCTTTTTAGATTTATATTAACACCCTGTAAGTTTGAGAGCACAAAAATTATGCCATATACAATTCTCTCTCAGGTCAAGGCAAAGCAGAAACACCAGTGTGCTGGAAAGTGTCCTGCAGTGTACTTTTCAAGTTATTTAAGATATTACATTTTTAGTGTTATTTCATACTAATTCTAAAAAGCCACAAATTTACAATTACAGCAGAAAAATTAAGTTTGTGATATCCCAAAGTGAAAAACAGAAGAGAAACTACATGTAATTAAGATTACAATAGATGGCAATCTACATATTGCCCAAGTAGTTTAGGTTTACAAAAGCACTTTATCTTGCCATAAACGTGAAAAAAACTCTTGCTAGCACATTTAGGGAAGCTTGTTAGATAGCTAAATTCAGACAACATACAAATAAGAGGTAAGCAATTCTTAATTTAATATTTTAATTAGTTTATATTTTCTTCAGGAACAGTAGTCAACTTGTTTAGCTGTGCAACTTAAACATTTTTCATAGAAAAAAATACAGTTCTTGCAAGCCAAAAGAAATTAATTACAAATAAACACTGTTTAGTGATCCACTCATTTATTTTACCTTAGTTCAAGGCAGGCTAAGTACAGATACTGTACATTAAAATATGTGCACACAGAGAACGTGTTCCTAGTTCTACCTTTAAGGACCAATTTCTATATTTTTTTTAGGCTCCTTCGCAAATTTGATCCTTCTCTGGATCATGTTTTGTGTATACTTAAATGTAGAGAGATCCATCTGCAGGCCCCACGTATCCAACTCCTATTAGTAGCACATCTATTAGTGTCCATATTCCCAGTCCACCAAAGCTGAAGAGTTTGCCCAGACCTTCCCTCCACTGGCCCAAGTAGAAACGATCTGCTCCAAATCCACCCAGGGTGATGCTAGGAATACAACATAATTCATTAACATAGTTGTGAAGAATCCCGAATTTGGATGTCAACTCACCTTTAAATATTTACACCACACTGATAGTAATTTTATATCATATCATATATAGGCTCAGGAAACTATGAATATCTTATGCAAAGTGGCTGGAGGACTCTAAAAGTAATAGTGATAAAAATGTTTTGATAGAAATATGTATTAAAAAGCACTTAGTTCTTAATTAAAAATATTTCTCCAAGTCTTTTGTGAAACTCTGCAGATACAAGATACACCTCTACCCCGATATAACGCGGTCCTCAGGAGACAAAAAAAAAACAAACTCACCACGTTATAGGTGAGACCGTGTTATATTGAACTTGCTTTGGCCCCCCTGTTCCTTGTTCCCTGACTGCCCCCTCCAGAGACCCCCGTCCCTAATCACCCCCAGGACCCCACCCAACCCCCCTGCTCCCTATCCCTATCCACGCACCCCGCCCTCTGACAGGCACTCACCGGCAGCGGCAGGAAGCGGAGCAACGTGGCCCCAGCCCGCTCCACTCTGCCAGCTCCCAGCCGCGTCGCTCCGCTTCTCGCAACCGGTGAGTGCATGGAGGTTGGGGAAAGGATGCCCTCTGCGCTCACCGGCGGCGGGAAGGGCAGCGACGCGGCCCCAGCCTGCTCTGCTTTCTTGCCCTGGCCCCAGCCGTGTCACAGGGGGGTGGTGGTGGGGGGGGTGTTGGGGAAAGGTCCTGCTCTCACCGGCAGTGGGAAGCGGAGCGCTGCGGCTGGGAACCGGCGGAGTGGAGCAGGCGGGGGCTGGGTTGCTCCGCTTCCACCACTGCCAGTGAGTGCAGGGGGGATCCCTTCCCTGAAGCCCCCTACCCCATGCTTCCCTTGCCCCAGCCCACTCTGAGACTGTGGGGCCCCCAAAAGTGCCCCCCCCCCCCGAGCTCCTGCCTCCCAGACCTGGGCGGGGAGCCCCTGACCGCCCCTGAGACCCTCTGTCCCTTATCCAAGCCCTCCGCCCCAGCCCGGCACCCTTAACACGCTGCTCAGAGCGTGTCAGAGTTTTACTGCGTTGTATGCGAACCCGCGTTTCTCGGGTCGCATTATATCAGGGTAGAGGTGTATGAAATGATTTATGTTATTTTAAGCTTCTCTCCATAAAAAGAAAGTTGGCTAGTGAGCTGCTCTGACTTTGGGCTCCAAGTTTCCTGAACTGGCAGGGGCTGAAAGGTGCTAGAGGGAGGAGACTGCTCTTGTGGTGTTTGGGTAAAGCTTAGTTTCTCCAGCTGCAGACAGAGAAGGGAACGGTTCTAGCTCCAAAAGAGAGCATGTCAGACCAGCTTTCTAACAAAACGTCTATTACCATTTTTGTTCACATAACTTATGATAAATTATGTAGTACAGGCTCTCATATCAGCCCTTATATAATTTACCTTTTAAGGGAATTTTGAATGAATTTAAAAAAAAAATAAAGGAGATAATTCTTGTTTCATAGTCAAGTTGTACAAACATATTGAGGTCCTGTGGCAACATCCAAACCACCACAGTGAGTATGACGCTTTAGCGCTTATTGTGTGAAGAATCAAAAGTTACAGCCTGGTTTAACAGTATAGAATACTGGCACCTCTCCCAAGCTGTCATCTTGTGTTCCAAGATCTCAGTTTTTTTTTTTTTAAAAGCTGATACCTATCATGAGCCAGCTATAACCAGCATAATGACATCTACCCAAGTCTGGAACAACTCTAAAAGAGTGAACTGCCCCATTCATCTCAGCTGCCCAATGATAATTTACATCAACATTAGCAGCTGTTTTGTTGCTCATTAAAGTGTGTGAGAAAAGGAAGCGCGGTATTCATAAATATTGGCTACCCCTGTTTTTAGAGTCTAAGTGAACCATGGGCCAAATCCAGATCGCCAGAAGCTTTTGAATGGACCGCAAAATCTTTCTTACTTATTATTGTCATTATTATTGTTATTGTGACGTGAAAAATGTTTCTCTGCAGTCTGGACCTTGACTATAGCTTGACCAAGAAATTTGGGCCTTGACTAAAAATTATTGACTACCCCTGCTCTACAATGAGCAAGGGTTCATTTTGGCACCATGAGTGGATGCTGTTTGGGAAACACCACCAGTTTTCTTTCCTCCAGTCAAGGAATCTAATAACGTCTAGCCAGGGTATCAAGCCCCAAAAAGATAGCCAAATTCAGTATGACATGCATAGTCACAACAGATTGTACAGATGTTCAAAATTACAAACAAACAGTCTCTCATTTTGGTTATTCCCTTAATTGGAGCTTATTCTGTGGCCAAAGCTTGGAAGAATACCACCTCCCTCCACCCAATACACACATACCTAAATCTGACCCCAGTAGTATGGAAAACAGTTAACACTGGCCATTTTATATTAAATCATAAGCATACTTTTAGTCAAAAGTCTCAGAAAATATTAAATATTTTGTACTCAGTTTAGTTTAAGGTTAGGATATAAATACACCATTGAAAAGAGAAACCCATTTAAGGAAATGCATTCATATATAATTTGAACTTGAAGTTCTGCAATACTTTCAGTCTACCTTAATGCCAAGGCTGTAGACCATTTATAGCCTCCAGTCCAGTTGCAGTAAAGCATCTTAGGAAAGACACGGTTACCTGAGAAGAGAAATGAAATACATTCAAATTCTGATGCCATGAACAAAGGCTAAAGATTGACTCAGGAACTGAAATTTGAGGCGCACATATGCCAAACTACTCCTCACAACAAATGTCTGTTCTGCATTTAAATAGCATCAGTAACTCAACCTGTCTTTTCTGATGAGACCAACAATATGAAAGCCTGAACACTATCTCCATTCCCTAAACTTTCTAGATGGGTTT